TTGGAAATGAACCGGCTCAATGCAGCTATTGGACCCGTAAGTGTTTGCACTTCTTTGATTGTCTTCGGCTCGGCATTCTTAGTCACAGCTTCTGCTTGGGCAGGGCTAGCTTCTATGCCTCTATGATTAACCACATGTCCCAGGAACTGACCAGAACTCACACCGAATGAGCACTTGGTTGGATTGAGCTTCATTCCATATTGTCTCAACACATCAAATACGTCTTGTAGATGTTTCAGATGGTCAACTTTCTTCTTACTTTTCACTACCATGTCATTAATATAGGCTTCCACAGTCTTCCCAATTTGATCCTTGAAAATTTTGCTAATAAGCCTTTGGTAAGTTGCTCCGGCATTCTTCAGTCCGAACGGCATAACTTTGTAGCAATAGGTCCCTTGCTTGGTAACGAAAGACGTTTTCTCCTCGTCAACAGGGTCCATGGGGATCTGATTATAACCTGAATAAACATCTAAGAAGGTTAAACGCTCATACCCAGTAGTAGCATCCACCATTTGATCAATCTTGGGCAGCGGAAAGCTATCTTTCGGACAGGCTTTGTTCAAATTGGTGAAGTCAATGCACACTCGCCACTTCCCATTCTTTTTCTGCACAACAACAACGTTTGACAACCAGTCGGGATGGTACACTTCTCTTATGAATCCCGCATCAAGCAGCCTATCAACCTCCTCGGCTATGATCCGGTTGCGTTCTGGAGCAAACCTTTGTTGCTTCTGCTTTACAGGTCTTGCATTGGGATTAACGTGCAGGGAGTGACAAGATACCAAAGGGCTAATTCCAGGCATGTCTAAGTGACTTCAGGCAAATACATCGGCATTGTGAGATAAGAAATCAATTAATTCCTGCTTTTCCCTCTCGGTGAGTCTTACTCTCACTCGAGTAGATCGCTCTGGCTTAGATTGATCGATCTGTACATCAACAAGGGGTTCTTCAGTCAAGTCCACTGGCTCCTCCTCCCCATTCTGCTTGGGTGGAGGTTTCTGTAATTGCTATCTCGGGCTCGCCGATCGGACAGGTGTTTTTCCTTTCCCAGTGGATTTCAGTGTCACTGAATAACATTCCTTAGTTGCAACTTGGTCCCCATGAATGTCAATCACTTTGGTGCCGTCTGGCCCCAGACATCTCATTACTTGGTGCAGAGTGGAAGGAACACCTTGAACTCTGTGGATCCACCCTTTGCCCATTAGAAGGTTGTAAGAGGGATGGATCTCGACAACCACAAAGCTCTCCATCAGAACCCTCTCTGCAGCATGCACTGCTACTTCCACTGTCGCGATGGGCTCCACTCGTTTTCCATCAAACCCTAGTAAAGGATTCCCAATGGGCTTGAGCCTGTCTGGCTTGATCTCGAGCCGATCAAATGTGTCCCTCGGCATGACGTTCGCACTACTTCCAGGATCAATCAGAACTTTGCGTACCAAACATTCGGCCACTGTCAAACTGACGACTAACAAATCTTCATGAGGAACCTGAACGCGTAATAGGTCGGTTCTGTCAAACTTGATTTGCGTTGATGCGTTCTGTTGATGCAGAGTGTTTACACTGCCTATCCTCCTCTTCATTTGTGCTTGGCGGAGGCGCGCTCTAAGCAGTTCTTCCGACTCTTCAGCCAGTTCGGGCCGACCATGAATCGCATTGATTATGCGAACTGGTTGCAAGTTGTGGGAGCTCGGCTTCTGATTCCTTTTTACTTGCTCCATTGGTCGGTTCTGTTCCACCGCCGTGCCTTGTTTATAACTTGCGAACTCCCCTCTGGCTATCAGCATCTCTACCTGCCTCCTTAAGTTCCTGTATTCATTAGTCTGATGGCCAAAATCAGAATGGAAAGCACAATGCTTAGACTGGTCCCTCTGGTCGAGGGGCTGTCTAATAGGTAAAGGAGGTTGGAACTTATCTTTATTTTCTTGGTACAGCTTTGCCAGTGTGACTTTCAGCTGAGTAACCAGCTCTTCCTCTCTGGGCCTCTTCTCAGCTTTCCAAGAGGTCTGACGCTGTGGCTGAGCCTGCTTTTGCCTAATTTTTGCTTTGGTTTTTTCTTCTGTTGTTATTATGGACGTCTTCTGAGCGTTAGCTGCTTCTTCTTCTTCTAAGCGTACAAAACCATCAGCTCTTTCGTTCAGCTCGTCTATGGTTTGTGGCGTGTTCACCACCAGACTTGTGTGGAACGGAGTCCCACGAATCATGGCCAGCTTGAATGCCTGGACTGCCGTGGACAGATGGCACTCGATCACCATGCTTTTGGTTAAATTGAATCGAGTAAGAAAGGCTTGGAGGCGTTCATCTTCATGCTGCCGCATTGTGAACAGACTGGAGACATCTTTTGCCGCGCGCTTATTCCCATAGTACTGGCTGATGAACCAATCGCAAAGGCTTCGGAAACTGTCAATCGAGCCCCTCGGTAAGTTTTTGAACCAATTGAGCGTTGGTCCAGCTAAGCTTGTTGGAAAACATTTGCACATTAAGGAGTCGTTCTCCGTGTTCAGAGCCATTTTCAATTAGATATGATATACATGATTGATTGGATTAGTCGTTCCGTCAAACAGGATAAAAACTGGCATCGAGAATTTCCTCGGACTCGGTGCATTTAGAATTTCATCGGTAAACGGCGAGTCAACCGTCCGAGCTGCTGAACGAAGGGCCTCATTCTCTCTATGGAACCTTGCGGCAGCTCTCTGATTTGTAGATCTCCTTTCTGAGCTTCGGTAGTCTAACATAGCCATCAAAGGTCGATAGAGCGAATCGGATGATCTTTCCTCCATGTATTCCTTCTGCCAGATCGGTGTAGTTTTGTGTTGTCCAAACTCCACAGCTTCTTCTCGGTTGAACCTCTCCTGATACGGATTAAAAGTCATTGCCTCGTTCCGCCTGATCTGCTCATGCGTGGATCTAAATGAATTAAGCCTTCTCGATCATCAAAACGACGAGGATTTGGCGGCAAATCATCTGGCCTAACCTCCTCGTGACGAGGATTTGTCAGATTGTTCTCTTCCTCTTCACCTTGACGCGCAACAACAAGATGCATAACCTCTTCACCTGCCGGAAGCGGTTGCAGAATCGCCGGAGCTTCTTGGCGCTGCATTCCAGCTTTCAACTCTGCATTCTCTTTCCTGAGAACTTCAATCATGTTCATCAACTCATTAAGCTTCATCTGCTGGACATTCTCCATCGGATTGGAGCTCTCACCTCCTATCATGATTCCGGAGCGAAGCAAAGGCATGAATCACAAGATCTTAATCAGATTTGAACTTTACTGATGCAAATCTCGTTGGATCTGGACCCAAATTCACTGAATCGCGATCACAGTTCGCTAGATCTGAGCTTTTCTAGCTTCTAACTCACCAGATCTAGTTGCGATCAAGCAAATCTCAGCTGCGTAATTCTAACGCAAACACGTCAAAACCAACAGCAATCAAGAATTCCTTCAGAAAAACTGTAATCTCTCCGATCTGGATTCAATTTCTAGAAATCCTGCTTCGTCTTCACGGATCAGTTTGAATTAACATGACATCGATCAAGCATGAATGAATGTTCTTCATCGATTCCCACAGACGGCGCCAATTGAAGATGCAAAGAATTCACTCTCTCTATTTTCACAGAGTCTCATTGCATTTCAACAAAAATCCCCCCTACATTCTCTCCTTCCTCTCTATTTATAGGCATTTACAAGTGTTATAAGTGATTCCCTAAGTTGGGTCTCTTGACCTCAGGCTTCATTCCTTACGGGCCTAGCTCTTCTCGGAAGATCCCATGCATTCGGCCCATTCCGCAACGTCATCGTGTGGGCTGAATCCAGTCTCTCGGCCCAATCCTCTTTTCGTGGGTCATATCCGGCCCATGTCACTTCCCGTACCCTCAATAATGTTTGATCCATTCCCCTATAGCTTAACCAATCATTAGTAATTGGTTCAAACCTCAGTCACATGATTCGGGCATGCGCTCCCAAGCTCCATGTGTGAATTGGGAGCGGATATGTTGCAAGTCCCAAAAATCCAATTTTTACAGTTCGCGAATTGGCTTTTCCAATCTGAGTATACTATACAGATTTGTGTGAAGTCCAGCATCAAGCATCTATAGTCAGACTTTTATGCACAAAGTGTGCTGTGCAGTTATTTCACACACAAAGCCAGCTGTGCAACTATTTATATTCAGTTAATGAAAGAACCAGTGAAGTGTGTGTTCTAGCGATTGAACCTACAACCTATTGAAGGGAACATAAGATACTTGCCACTCAGCCATCTGCTGTTTGTGACATAAATGATAAATAAATATATCGGATTAGATTTAAATAGTCACTCTATATTTAAAAAAAAAAACCAAAAATAGTATTTAATAAACTAAAATGATAATGTATTACGTTGAATAAGTACATACAAGTAAATGTATAGGCCCTCTAAGGGTGCTCCAGCTTCAAAAAAATTAGACTTTGACGCTTTCTCGATCTTGCTCCTTTATGTGACATAGTTTCAAACATCTTAAGATTCACATTATGGGGTTTAGGTAGTCCATAGTAAATTGAAGATATTTTAAGTTTTTTTTTTTTTTTTTTAATCACTCCTCATTTCTATATATTCTCTACAATCTGTCTTAGTAATGAGGGAACTTAGTTCTTCAAGTTGACTCTATGTCTTCTCTTCTGAGTTTTTTGAAAGCATGAACTTGCTCCAAATGTCTAGTTGTGTTCAATTCATTATTGTTCTTGACAAGAGTAGTTGGAATAATCTGAAAATTGATTATATTGTATGTTCATCACTTATTCAATATGCCATGTCATTATGATTATATGAACAAATAGTTTTATGACATGCCTTGAGAAAAATGTGTCCTTTTGAGATGATTTTCTTTGTTTGAATTTTCTTGTCTACTGTAACAGTTTATTATCCCATAGTCATGTTCTTCTGGTACATAATGGATGTAATAAATTTAAGAGCGTAGCTTCATTCACTTGGTGGAAGTCAGCACTACTTACTTTTCTGATATTGCAGGCAATCAATGTCCATGAAGAATTTTTTCTTCCAGGAGAAGTGATTATAGAACAGGCGAATCTAGTAAATCAACTTTATTTTGTTTGTTATGGTAAACTGGTATGAGTTTCCATCCTTTAAAATTTGCTATGCCTATCTTTTCATTTATGTAGTGCTTATAGTAGTTGAAATAAGAAGAATCATATATGCATGAGATATGTGGGCAATTAATTTCTCTTAAATAAGTATTCTTGTATTGCATCAAAAACTGCAATGCTAATGGCTGCTTCACTGTTGCATTAAACATTCATATTCTTTAGGTAAAAGCTCAGTTCTTTTGTCATGATGTTTAACAATTGGGAATTCATGAATTTCGTATGCCATTGCTCTGAACTCAGCTTCTATTGATCTGGAAAGTAGAAATTATTTTTTCTTTTCTCAAGCTGACTAGGTTGTGACTTGTATAAAAGCTGTAAGTAGATTTGGATCTTAAGCTCATCCAAATTGAATTTGTAAATGCCAATATATTAGTATTTAGCAAATAGATGCCACTTACATAAATGCTGTAAATAGATTTGGATCTTAAGTACATCCAAATTGAATTGGTGTATGCCAATACATTGGTATTTAGCAAATAGATGCCTCTTTCCTAGGTAAACTCTCAAGTTTTAAAGAATCTCAAAGGTTGCTTCCATATGAGATAAATAAACTGTATGCATAAACTAAAAGGCATTACCCAATGCATGTCTCACCTGGCGTCTCTGGGAATTGAAATGGGAAGACTGGAGACAAACCTAACTGTTTGACATGATTTTTCACAAATTGGCTGCTCTCCGGACTGGAATTCATGTTCCCGCACGTGTCTCTACAAGCTTTTAGCATTGCATCAAGCAATAACCCCTTAAAGTGCATCATAAGTGTTTTAGTATAGTTCCCAGCTTCGGAAATTCAAGTAGAATCTTGGACATGTGAGTGAGCTTTCCCACCAATCTCAAATATCTATTAAATCACTCGCAATCTCCTAATTGATTCTGGAGCAAGGGTTTGGGATGCTTCAAGTTCTCTTACTTATCTGTCATACCATAGGAATCCTTGGTCAAATGACACAAATCATGGGTTTGACCAAGTCAAACTGAGGATTGAGGGGATTTGCATTAATCCATCCATCGCGAATTAGAATGGAATCCACCTCCATTAAACACGGAGTATCCTAGTTTAAGACTGTTAGAATGTTTTATATATATATATATGTTGGGTCATTATGTAATTACATATAGTTGGTAGGGCCCTTGTGTTATTAAGTAAGTCTTGTATCCTTTATATAAGCCTACGTAGGCTTATTAGGGTTAGTGTGAAATTTACAATAGAAATCTCTCTCTCTCTCTCTCTCTCATGATTTTGAACATGGTATTAGAGTGAAGATACATAGAAATTTGCCCAATTTAGAAAGAGAAATTATGCACTTCAAACAATTTTTTCCAACCCCTTTTCCCTTTTCTTTCCGTTTATTTATAGACGGTTACAACCATTCTTGAAGCTTTCTAACTGATTTTCTTGTGATGGGTTGGCCTTATTTAATTTCTTTTTATTTGGGCCTAACTTCTTTTATCCTACTGCGAGTTTCTCTACTGTCCTCCTGGACCTGGGCCTGCTCAGTGAGGACTTGCTCCATTCCTGTTGCTCTTACCCGACCCATTCTCAACAATCTGGGTCTTATCAAGCTCAGGTCATTTTTGGTATCCTTATCATACCTGAGGGCACTTGTTCTGGTGAAGCGGGCATGAAGAGCTCTCATGCCACCCTTAACTTTGCCAATGATGTTCAGCAAAGAAGAGCGTTCATTTGAGAACTTCTCTTTTGAGTTTGCATGGGTCAACCGTTCAGCAATAAGTGTAAGCTGAAGGTCACCCTTCTCAGTCCTCAGCAAATTCCTTTCAGTAAGGGCAACATTTTTCTCAGTCTTCAGGACGTCAACTTCATCCTGAAGGGAGTCTCGTTCGGCTTTAAGGGCCTCTCGTTTAGCCTTTAAAGCATCCTTCTTAGCTGCTAGAGCATCCCTCTTAGTCGTCAGGGAATCCCTCTCAGCTGTCAGAGCAGCCGTTGCCTTCTCTGATTCATTCAGCTTAACCAGGAGCTCAGAGTTCTTGGCCTCAAGCAAGTTCTCTGATTCAACAGATCTTTTAAGGCCAGCAGATAGGGATTTAAGTTTCTTGTTCAGAGCTTCAATGCTCTTCTGAAAGGTAAACATCCCAAATAGAGTCTGCACAGAGAAAAGGGTATTCTGGTCAGTTCAACCGTCAAATAATTAAAATGAAAAAGAAATATATCTCAAGGGGAGAAGAGTTACCTCAACGGTAGCAGCTGGAAATCGCCGATACATTTCACTAAAAGTCATCTTGTTCTGGATCTCAAGATCCTTGGGAGTTCAGAAGCCTTTGTAAAAAACAAATGAAGTAAGAGGGTCTTGGTATATAGAATCTGTGGGGCCAATGGTCGAGCCATCCTCACGGCTGAGCAAGGGGCGCCATAGAAGAACGGATGATGTGGTACTAGAGGTCCTGGCGGATTCACCCTCCGGTATGAATAACTGAGGGGGGGAAAAGGATTAGTGATCCTGAAAGAGGTCACCCTGGCCCTCTGTGCTGGTGGGATATCGCTCTGATCACGACCACCCTCGGGCATTGGCCTTTTGCCCAGGCTCTTCTGTGACATGCCAGCTCGGACTGGAGGAGGTCTTCCATGGTTCTGAGAGGAACCCCCAACATCTTGAGTGTCATCTGAAGAAGTTTCAGTCAGAATGTTAGGAGATTCATTGGTCGGTGCAGTGGGTTGAGCCTCAGCAGAGGGCTCTGCAACTTGAGCTTCAGCAGGGGCAGATGCAGAGGTCCCAACAGTAGAGTGATCTGTAACTTGAGTTACAACTGGGACAGTCATAACTTGTTCCGGGGTTGGGAGAGTTGAAGTAATTAGTTTCGGAGTTGGAACGGTTGAAGAAGTCGTTGGGATGATAGGTGTAGCAGAAGGAGTGGGGGCAGAGTGCCTCCTCCTGCTGAAGGATGGGATTTGAATACTCTCCATTGTAGATCCTAAGAGAGAGATATCAGAGAGATTGTCAGGGGTAAGCAAGTCAGTAGCTGAAGGGATGTTGTTCAGCACTCTCTCCTGAAGGACATCAAGCCTGGCCTGCAAACGCTGTAAACCAGTTCGTCATGATGTATTTGAAGACATTTACAAAGAAAAGTACAGAAACGGGGAAGGCAATTTTCACAATAGCATTCAGTGGGATGTTTTTTAAGCTTTTTATAGCCAGAGACAGAGCACTTTCCAAAGGTGGTAGGGACAGGGAAGGACTGGCCGAACAGAGTTTGCCAATTCCCACTAACCCCAATTAGATTTTGTCTCCAACCCTTTTCGAAAGAGAGCTTGTCCGTACAGATGGATCGTTTTTCAATAGGATAGAAATGAAAATACTTCTCACTGGGCTTGATTCTGTTAACTCGGTAACAAAGAAGAAGATCGATAATATCTAGATTGAGATCCCTATCACGGTTCAAGAGCAGAAGGACTGAGATTACCCTAAGGAAGTTAGGGTTAACTTGCAGAAGGCAAAGCCCCAATTTGTTGAAGACATAGCAGAAGAATGGGTGTAGAGGGAACCTAATTATGTTTAAGTGAATAGCAGAGAACAAAATTTCCCCAGGAAGGAGACCCTCACCAGATCTCTCATCCAGATTTGTGGGGTAGATTCTGAGGGAAATGTCATTCGGGATGCTATTCTCAGAACGAATAGCGTCTAAATTAAGGGGGCCATGGAAAGGGGGAAGAATCTTTGGGTATAAAAGTTTTTCTTTCAAAAAGAAGAGTAAGAGAAAGAAACTGACCTTGGGAAATGAGTTCATGAAGTACCCTGCAACAATACAATAGCCAAATCGCAAAGAAAAGCTCGCCGGAAAATGCAGGGGGATGACAGAGGTAATCGGGGAAGACGACGAGGGATGATGACGATGGGAGAGATTAAAGAAAGGCAGAGATTGAGAGGATAAGGTTTTTTAAAGGGAAGAAATGGAGGTAACTCAGTGTTCAAAGGGTTAAGGCGAAAGTGGCGCAGCAGATCTCAAGGTATGGGTCTTTTGGCCAGCCGTTCGATTCCCCATGTCATCACTCCGAGCCGTTAAATCATGATTGTGTCTTTTCGATAATCTCACTCTAATTAATTAGGGAGAGATTATGGGGGCAGATGAGGATACCAAAAATGAACTGGGCTTGATAAGACCCAGATTGTTGAGAATGGGTCGGGTAAGAGCAAGAGGAATGGAGCAAGTCCTCACTGAGCAGGCCCAGGTCCAGGAGGATAGTAGAGAAACTCGCAGTAGGATAAAAGAAGTTAGGCCCAAATAAAAAGAAATTAAATAAGGCCAGCCCATCACGAGAAAATCAGTTAGAAAGCTTCAGGAATGGTTGTAACTGTCTATAAATAGACGGAAAGAAGAGGGAAAAGGGGTTGGAAAAAATTATTTGAAGTGCATAGTTTCTCTTTCTAAATTCGGAAAATTTCTGTGTATCTTCACAGAGCTACACAAATTCATGGGTGTGAGAGTCTATAATTGTGTTGTTCTTGTATAAGATCGGAATTGCGATTGTGGTGTTGGTGTCTCTGCTTCGTTTGTCGTCGCCGGCAGCTCCTCGTTCATCGTCGTCAGATCTGAAGCTTGTTCATCGTCGTCTCTGCCTCGTTCGTCGTCGCCTGCAGCTCCTATTTGTTTGTCAGCGAGCTCGCCGACATCTACTGTCTTGATTTGTAGAGGTGAGGTTCATCGATTTGCATTTTTTGGCGGAAGTTGCAGAGGTCGCTGCCTATTGATTTGGCCGTTGCTTGTGACTGGGTCGCCGTTGTCTTCGTTGCATTGTTCACCGGCGTTTGTGAAGGTGTGAAGATGTGATACCCCTCGATTCTAGAGCCACGAGTGATTAAGTCCGAGCACAAATCCGAGGGATACCAACCAATTAATATGTAAATCAGCACGGAATACAAAATAGAAATAAGGATAAAATAATAAAGCTGAAAGAATTCTAAATTAAAATCCTCAATATAAAATTATTAAAATCCAATAATCCAAAAC